GATGTCTTCTTTAGAGAAGTGTCTATTCATGTTTTCTGCCCATTTCTTCACTGGGTTATTTGTTTTTCGGGTGTGGAGTTTGGTGAGCTCTTTATAGATTTTGGATACTAGCCCTTTGTCCGATATGTCATTTGCAAATATCTTTTCCCATTCCGTCTAACTGAACTTTTTTAAAAAAGGAATTAAACACGCAGATAAAATTTTAATGCATTCTCATTCTACCCTACTTTCTCACATCTCAGAATTAACCACTATTCTAAAGCTATAATATATAGATTTTTGTGCTTTATTTATACATTTTGTATCCATTGTATGTTTTGAACTTGAAATGCTATCATACCACATGCAACTTTTACTTTTTTCTCACAACATTTTTCGGGATTTAATAAGATTAATATGTGATGTTCTAATTTGTTATTTTCACTTCTTTATTAATGTTTTGAATAAATATAAAAGTTTATCCATTCTTTTGTTAATAGCTATTTACATTCATTGTTTTTTCCAACAATAACAAAAAATTTGTTGGAGTTTGAACACTTCTAAATAGCTCACCATTCACATATGGAAGATGTCTTTAGTTTATAATAGCTGGAAGTGGAATTGCTTACTCATAAATGAGACATATGTATTTTTTTTTAATTTTTTTTTTTAATGTTTATTTACTTTTGAGACAGAGACAGAGCATGAACGGGGGAGGGTCAGAGAGAGAGGGAGACACAGAATCCGAAGCAGGCTCCAGGCTCTGAGCTGTCAGCACAGAGCCCCACGCGGGGCTCGAACTCACGGACCATGAGATCATGACCTGAGCCGAAGTCAGACGCTTAACTGACTGAGCCACCCAGGTGCCCCGAGACATATGTATTTTCAACTTTACCACTATTGTCCAAATGGTTGTACCAGTGTTGTTTCCACCCAGAAGTATCTCCTTGCCAGTTAACTTGTTGATTTTTTGCAAATCTAATGGATATAACATGGTATCTCCATAGAACTTTAATTTGCATTTCTTTTATTAATATTTTGGTTCAGTATTGTTTTCATTGTTGAAAAGTACTGTGTTTTCCGTTGCTATAAATTACCTAGGTTCCTTAGGGGTTTATATTTTTTAGTACATTATTTAAAAAAAATACTTTTCTCTGTGCAATTATTTTCAAGGATATTCTTCTATAGTTTATTTTGCAAATTTTATTTGCAAAGTTAGTGTGCTTTCCCCTCTTCCCTCTCTGCAAAGATTTGGTTCTGGTGTTGATTTTGGAGTCTAGGTCTTTTTGACTACTGATTTTTCTTATTGATTATTGGACTTACCAGATTTTTTTCCCCTCTTGAGTCAGTCTAGAGGTTAAGAATTGTCTAGTTGATCAGTATTTTCCATTTACTGTCATACATTTTTTAGAATAGCTTTTTATTATTTATTTATTTATTTATTTATTTATTTATTTAACGTTTATTTTGAGAGAGAGAGAGAGAGTGTACACACAAGCATGGGAATAGTGGGGAGACAGAGAATCTCCAGCAAGCTCTGTGCTGTCAGTGCAGAGCCTGATGGGGAGCTTTATCCTATGAACTGTGCAATCATGACCTGAGCCGAAATCAAGAGTCAGACGTTTAACTGACTGAGCCACCAAGGTACCCCAAGACTATTCTTTCTTCAGTAAGTTGTCTTAGCACTCTTGTCATGCATCAACTGACTATAAATGTGAGGGTTTTTACCTAAACTCTAAATTCTTTTTCATTGGTTTACATGTTTGTTTTTATTTATTTATTTATTTTTTTTTTTCAACGTTTATTTATTTTTGGGACAGAGAGAGACAGAGCATGAACGGGGGAGGGGCAGAGAGAGAGGGAGACACAGAATCGGAAACAGGCTCCAGGCTCTGAGCTATCAGCCCAGAGCCTGACGCGGGGCTCGAACTCCCGGACCGCGAGATCGTGACCTGGCTGAAGTCGGACGCTTAACCGACTGCGCCACCCAGGCGCCCCTACATGTTTGTTTTTATGCACATTCTTGATTCCTGTGCTTTGTATTAAGTTTTGAAATTCAGAAGTGAGTCCTCCAACTTCTGTTCATTCTCTTTATTTATCTGGGAAATCTTAATTTCTCCTTTGTTTTTGAAGAATACTTTTACTGGAATTTGAATTCTCTGTTTTCAGTCTTTCACCACATTTTAACATGTCCTCCCACTGCTTTCATGCCTCCAAGATTTCTGATGAGAAATTATTTAATTTGGCAGGGGGTGAGGGGAATCCCTGTAAGGGATTGGTTACATCTCTCTTATTATTTTCAAGATACTGGCTTTTTATTTTTTCCTTAATGTTTATTTTTGAGAGAGAGAGAGAGAGAGAGAGAGAGAGAGCATGAACAGGGGAGGGGCAGAGAAAGAAGGAGACACAGAATCTGAAGCAGGCTCTAGGTTCTGAGCTGTCAGCACAGAGCCCGACATGGGGCTTGAACTCACA